GGGGGGGCTGAGAGAAAGACAGAGAAAGGGAGAGACGGGGAAAGAGGGAGATGAAAACATTTTAAAAACTTTTGTGTACTAAAGATATCCCGCATTATTCACTGGACTGTGTTTAGAGGTGAAAGAAGTAAAGAAAAAAACAGGACGGGAAAAAAGCAACAAAAACCTATATCTAAAAAATACACCAGCATATTTTTGAAAACTAGTAAAAAGAAAAATAGTTTTGAAGAGAAGGACTAATTTCATAATCGTTACAGCCCCCTGGCGCCCCGAAACAGCTTCCACAAGGGCTGTTTAGGAATAACATCCATTGGACTAGAGCTGTTCCATTAGGATTCCCTAGAGAGCAGATTACAAATCGTTCGGAACAAAGGTATGGCTGCTGCTATTCCCTGATCTCCTATTTATAGTTTTTATTTCCACGCATGTGACAGGTGACCTAGTCCAGCAGACTGTGTCGGTGTACGCGTCTGAAGTAGTCGTTGTTGCTGCTGATGTTTTTGTTGTTGTTGTTGATAACGATTTTGCTGTTGTGGTTATCATTGTCGTTGTTTTAGCTGTTAATTGATGTTTGTGTTGTTGTTGTTTATGTTGTTGTTCTGCTGCTGATGATCAACCCTATTTGTGTCTGTCTGTGAAATTGTTGTCTGTCTATCTATCTATCTATCTATTTATCTATCTATCTATCTATCTATCTATCTATCTATCTATCTATCTATCTATCTATTCACGACATCAACCCATCATCTGGTCCCTCCCGAGATCGTTTTCTTTGTCCTTTTACCATCTTCTCGCTTTGCGTCTTGCGTCTTGCGTCGATTCTCTGCTCTCTTTCCTGTTTCTTGTTTCCCGCCAGCCCTTTTCTCTGCTCCTCAGAGACGCAGACTCCAGGCCCGCTGGGAAGAAGATACGACCCTCGATCTTGACGATGAAGGTGAAATCCATTATCGCTGGTAAAAAAGCTCGTGCCCTGATGGCTCCTTATGGATCGCCAGCAATGTGACCCAGTCACAAGAGGAAACTGATGTTTAAAACTCTCCCCAGATCACTCCAGTCCTCCCCCCCCCCCCATTTTTTCTCCTCATCTCTTTCTCTCTCTCTCTCTCTCTCTCTCTCTCTCTCTCTCTCTCTCTCTCTCTCTCTCTCTCTCTTTCTCTCTCTCTCTCTCTCTCTCTCTCTCATTCTCTCTCTCAAACCTACACACCCACACACACTCACTCTCTCGTTCCTCAATTTATCTCCCTCCCTCTGTCTTTCGTCCTCTTTTGGTCTTTTTTTTCTTTCTTTCTTTCTTTCTTTCTTTAGTTCTTTCTTTCTTTTCTTTTTAACTTGGGAGCTTGCTACTTCTGGACATTTTTCTGTGTTCAGAATTTGCATAAATTTTTAAGCTAACTTAACTATATATAGAAATTTTGATACAATATTGTCGTGTAATTCCAAATGTTTTGAGAAGTTCATTTCACAATAGATAATTGGTCTTTTGGGACCAAGACCAATATTACTTTCAAAAATAGCTTTTGTCAACATTAGACAGTCGTTAATGAAATCATTGTCGGATGTGCACGCTTTGTAACAATGTTTTTAAACCAGTAAACAATAGTCATCACCAACAAAAAAAAATCATTACCGTGCAATTATACATGGTGAAAACAATTTGTGACAAATACAAAACGAGCAAATTATCATCCAAGTTGGACAAATGTAAGTAATCTAAATCAACTGCCCGCAGTTTCAAAGTTGTATATATACAAAGTTGTTAATGTTTTCAGATCCAGCTGTTGCCCAAGTATTGAGCTGCTTGTAAACTCTTGATTAATACTGACCTAAGGCCGTTCTTACAAGAACTAAGTTGTTTGACTGTTTGAAGATATAGCTTTTAAATATAATCAAAGCCTTGTTGGTATTTGGCCGGGTGAGACTACTTTTCGCAGAGCAGTAGTAATATTAGAGTGTGTGAAGCTTATAAACAAACAATGTTTGCAGCAAGTTCAGGATATATGGAGCAGTCCACATTACTCTTCATTCTCTAAAGCCAAGCAAAGACACCCCCCCCCCCTTCAATATCAGACCCCTCCATCCTCTCCCCTGACTCTATGCATAGTGATTGAAACTATAATCAAGAGCATCCAGCCTCAGGAGTGAGATTTATGCATTAAGATATAAAAAAACCTAAGTTATGCAGGTGTGAGTGTGTTCTTTTAGCAGGGAATATCAAATAACTGCATAATATGGTAACACTCTGGACTAAAATTAGAATTTTAATATGTCCCAAACTAAATTAAGTATTGCTTGAGAACGGAAAGAGAAGAAAATCTAAAACAAATACACTTATAATCACTC